AAGATCAGCCCTGAACTAACATCCATGCTAATCCTCCTCTTTTTTTGCTGAGGAAGACCGGCTCTGAGCTAACATTTATTGCCAATCCTCCTCCTTTTTTTCTTCCCCAAAGCCCCAGTAGATAGTTGTATGTCATAGTTGCACATCCTTCTAGTTGCTGTATGTGGGACGCGGCCTCAGCATGGTCGGAGAAGCGGTACGTAGGTGCGCGCTCGGGATCCGAACCCGGGCCGCCAGTAGTGGAGCGCGTGCACTTAACCGCTAAGCCACGGGGCCGGCCCAGGAATTTGTATTTTTAACAAACATCAGGAAGTTTTTGATGCAGGTGGTCACACTTTGAGAAGGGCTGTTACCGAGCCTAGTTCCAGCTTCTTTGTCTGGATTCTTTTGGAGACAACGCCCCTGTCTTTGTGGTCCGTCCTCTGGGCAAGACTCCCAAGCAGGCAGGCCTGTGGTGATGCTTATGGTGCCTCCCTGAAACGATGCCATCCAAATACCTCCTGAGTTTACCTGGCACTGCCCTTACGAGGGAAGGTTTAAAATCAAGTCCCTCCCCTGTTGAGATCTTCACGAGACTTGCCCAAACCATTAAGAGTGCTGCATCAGAAAAATATGAGTGATGCTTCTGGGGACAGGCAGGGGAAACAGCATCACTAATCCACATCCTTTCTTTACACTCCAAAAAGGACCAACTCGATCATAAATCACCAAGATTCAAGCAGACAGAACCCTGGGGAGTCCCACCTCTATCCCATACTTGTAGACATAAATGCTCATGTCACAGTTATGTTGGTACTTAGAATAAAAGGGAATCAGCCCAGGAGCGATGAGCATCTCCATGCCCAGACTACGGTCTCTAAATACCATTTCACCAGGACTCCTCGAATAAATTGAAGAAATGGCTGATTCCTGTTCTGGGACAGGAAATGAACAAGATGAGTCTGGAACATCTTGTCCTTCCAGAGAGCAAGGAAGCTATCAAAGACTTCCGGGGTCATGTCAAAAGAACCCAGGAGCTAATTCAAAAGGATTTCCACTAGCAAAGGATGCAACTATTAAAGCATAAACAAATGACCATAATTGAAAGATGTCAAAATATATTTGAATCCATGAATTCGTAACGATAATTACAAATCCTCACTGGCCACATTTGGAGGTTGCTAGGTAGAGTGGGTTGAAGAGTGTCTCCCTTTTAAAAAGATATGTCCAAGTTATCCTAACCCCAGTACCTGTGAATATGGCCTTGTCTGGAAACAGGGTCTTTGCAGATGTAATTAAGGATTTGGAGATGAGATCATTCTAGACGAGGATAAACCCTAAATCCAATAACAAGTCCTTAGAAGAGAAAGGGAAACAGACACAGAGAGAAAAAGGCCTTATGAAGACAGAGGCAGAGATTGGAGTTACGAAGCCCCATGCCAAGAAACGCCAAGGTTTGCCAGCTGCCATCAGAAGCTGGGAGAGCGGCAGGGAACAGATTCTCTGTCAGAGCTTCAGAAGGAACCAACCGAGCCGACACCTTGATTCTGGACTTCTGGCCTCAGGAACTGTCAGACAATAAATTTCTGTTGTTTTAAGCCATACAGTTTGTGGTAATTTGTTACTGCAGCCCCAGGAAACTAATACACTAGGGCACCAAACTATCATTTTAAAAACTGGTAAGTAAGGGGAATAACCCTCTCCTCTATGAACTGTATTTCAAGCGAATCAAATAGTTGATGAGCAAAAATTCTTCTTTTATAGAAGAACTTCAGCTAATAAATGTAGAAGAAACTCGAGAATTAGAGTATATCTATTTTGTAATCCCTAATGAAATAAATGGATCTTCTAGGCAATACTCACCAAAGGCTGCTAAATCCATTAGGTGGAAAGCTGATGGATGGGCCAGGCTAACAAAGCGTGGACCCACTGACCACTCTTATCACAAAAAAAAGAGACAATCGGACATTTTATATCCCAAGGGCCATCAGAAGTGCATAGCATCACCTATGAAGTGGTCTGGCTAGGAAGTTGAATCTGGCTCTAATCAGGTCTCTAAATCTCACCACCAGTTTACAGGAAATACAAAGAGAAAAGAAACAGCTAAACACCCCGGCAGGGTTGCAAATCAGGTATATCCAAATGTGGGAAGTCCTACAAGACAAATGGAAGGAGAAGGGGGAGGGGCAAACAGTCATAGATGAAAAGAAACACAAGAGACATATCAAGCAAACCAACGTGGCGCTTTTTCAGATCCTCATTAGAACAACCCTACTGTAAAAAGACACTTAATGGACAATTGGGGAAATCTGACCATTGACTGGGTCTTAGATGGCAGTAAGGAATTATTAAGTTTTCTTTTAGGTGTGATGGTTGGTATTGTGGTTACGTTTTTTAAAAGTCTGTATCTCTTAGTCAGATAGAAGTTTTTACAGATAAAATGACACAAAGTCTAGGATATGCTTTAAAATAACCCAGAGATTTGCAGCAAAGGGATAGTGTAGATGAAATAAGAGTATACAGATGTTGATGGATGGTGGGCAGGTCGGGGTTCCCTGTACTGCAGACATGTGTTGCGTAACAACGGGGATACGTTCTGAGAAATGAGTCGTTAGGTGATTTCGTCACTGTGCAAACATCACAGAGCATAGGCACACCAACCTAGATGGTATAGCCTACTGCACACCTAGGCTCTATGATACTAATCTTATGAGACCACCATCAAATATGTGGTCCGTCGTTGACCAAAATATTGTTATGCAGCACAAGACTGTATTCTATTTTGGATTATGTTTGCAAATTTCCATTCTAAAATGTTAATTAAAAAAAAGGGTGGGGGATAACAGAAGGGCACAGTGGGACTTACATTGATGATTTGTTCATGGAGCAGTCTGATCATAATCTTCCTTCCCTCTGTGATCTGCCAGTAAAGATAGGTGATGATTCTGGAAGAGAAGAAGAGAAAGAAGGGTAGACACTCTCGCCAATGCTTTGCAGGCTCTGAATTTCCAATGGGTGCAAACGAACTGAGATATTTACTCGCAAATGGATTTTGTCCCAACGGTGTTCCTGAAAAGTTGTGTCTGGGTAAGTTATAAGTCAAACACATTAGGGCAATGGTTCTCACCATTCTGCACGTGGAATCAACAGAAAGGTGGGAAAAAGGCTCATGCCATGGCTTCTCCTCAGATCAATTAATTGAGCTTCTCTGGGCATGAGGCCAAACATCAGTATTTTTTCTTTTTTATAGCTTTATTGAGGCACAGTTTACATGCTACAAAATTTACTCATTTTAAGTGTAGTTTGATGAGTTTTGGTAAATTTATACAGTTGTGTAAACCTCACCCTGATCGAGTTTTTTATTTTTTATTGAGATATAATTGACATATAACATAGTGTAAGTTTCGGGTGTACAACTGCGTTGATTTGATACATTGATATACTGCAATATGACTACTACCGTAGCGTTGGCTAACACCTCTATCACGTCACATGACTGTCATTTCTTTTTTGTGGTGAGAACAGTTAGACATCAGTAATTTAAAAAAGCACACGACTCCAATGGGCAGCCAGAAGTCATGAATCTGGACAGTGCTGTTCAAATTTCAACGTGATACAAATTTCCTGGGAATTTGTTAAAATGCAGAATCTGATTCTGCAGGTCTGGGGTAGGGCCTAAGATTCTGCATTTCTAACAAGCTCCTCAGGGAATTAGAAGTTTGAAGGAGCGAGGCACTAGGAGAACTCACCATTTTAAAGAGGCCAGTGGCAACCTAGTGTTGGGTAGGCAGTTCACACCGAGAGCCAGGAGACCAGGTTCCAGCCTCCTCTGCCACTAACAGGCTCTGCAGCCTGGAGCCTATCTCTGTAGCCCATCTCTGCAAGTCTTATCACTTCCATCTGTAAAACTGAGGGGTTGCTCTATCATCAACATCACCTGGTTCTACTGGTCTGTGCTTTTGAGTTGTGTCTTTCTACATGAGGAGCTGCAATCTCAAATGCCATCAGGGCTGGGCTTCTAAAGAGGAACAGTAATTAGTCAGCCAACCAAGTGTTCATGCAGGAAAACGGGCCCAGTCTTGGCAGATCTTCTGCTTTTTCACAAGAAGTCAGAAATTGCTATTTTTTTCTGGGCGGGCCCCGTGGTTAAGTGTGCGCGCTCTGCTATTGGCGGCCCGGGTTCGGATCCCGGGTGCGCACCGACGCACCGCTTCTCTAGCCATGCTGAGGCCGCGTCCCACATACAGCAACTAGAAGGATGTGCAACTATGACATACAACTATCTACTGGGGCTTTGGGGAGAAAAAGGGAAAAAAAAATGGAGGAGGATTGGCAATAGATGTTAGCTCAGGGCTGATCTTCCTCACACAAAAAATAAATAAAGAAAGAAAGAAAGAAAGAAATCGCTATTTTTACTTGAAAATGACGGGCGAGCCCCATGGTGTAGTGGTTAAGTCCTGTGCGCTCTGCTTCGGCAGCCCAGGTTCACGGGTTCAGATCCCGGGCGTGGACTTAGACCACTTGTCAAACCATGCTGTGGCGGTGACCCACATACAAAATAGAGGAAGACTGGCACAGATGTTAGCCCACAGCTAATCTTCCTCAAGCAAAAGAAGAGGAAGATTGGCAACAGATGTTAGTTCAGAGAGAATCTTCCTCACCAAAAAAAAAAAAAGAAATGAAAGTACACTATCCTGTGTATCAGTAATGCCCAGCCCATTTTAATATATCACAATCTCGGAAAAGTCACACATTTAATTTTCCTAAGCATTCTCATATCCATTTTTTTCATTTTATTTTCATGTTTTCTCTTAAGAGGGGCAGAGCAGGTATTGCTTTCTTCATAAAGCAGGCAAACCCCCCCCCAAAAAAACTAGCATAAGAAGATATTAAATAACTTCTTAAAAAGTTCAAGGGCGGGCCGGCCCCGTGGCTTAGCAGTTAAGTGCGCACGCTCCGCTACTGGCGGCCCGGGTTCGGATCCCGGGCACGCACCAACGCACTGCTTGTCCGGCCATGCTGAGGCCGTGTCCCACATACAGCAACTAGAAGGATGTGCAACCATGACAACTATCTAGTGGGGCTTTGGGGAAAAAAAAGAGGAGGATTGGCAATAGATGTTAGCTCAGAGCTGGTCTTCCTCAGCAAAAAGAGGAGGATTGGCATGAATGTTAGCTCAGGGCTGATCTTCCTCACACACACAAAAAAAAAGTTCAAGGGCAGAGTCAGGATCATCCAGAACCCTGGGCTCATCTGTAGCCCTTTGCTTTCCCAGCAAACATTCCGAGGGCTGTCCACACATCATGTCAATGAAGCCTTTCCCCGCTAGCCTCCCAGGGTTTCCCACTTACAACACAATGAGAGTGAGGATGAAAAAGAAGTGCACGCTTCCGATGAGGTGCCGGTAGATCCAGACAACCCAGAGGTAGCTGGGCCTTTTACTCAGGGTGTCAATCCAGCTGTAGATGGCCTGAATGAAGAGGGGCAGACCTCGAAATGGGCCACAGTCAGCTGAAGGTTTCAATCTGGTAAAAACAAGGGACGGAAAAACATCTCTGGCGTGAGACTCAGATATAGTCTATTCTAGAATCAGAGCGTCCTTTCTGGGCTCTGCACCTGGAAACGGCAATTCTTGCCTGCTCCCCACACCCTCCTTCCAAAGGAAACCCTCTCACCCACAGCCTCAGCTGGTAGATTTTGTACTCATAGCCTGCACTCTGAGGACCAGCTCTTGGCAGGTCCTGATCCAACCCAAACACCAGGCAGTGGCCTCTGTGGGCTCCCGGCTCAGGGAAATGGACAGGGGCGATCAGATTCTCTTCCTTGGGAACTTGAACTATGAAATACGAAGAGGGGAACTGTAATCTATGGAAGCTAAAGCTATGGCAATGACGGCCACGTGCAGTCAGCTGTTAGGAAGGAACAGAAGCTAGAAGCCAACAAGGAGCTGGGTGGCAAGAGAGAGAAAAGAGAACAGACTCCATGAGAGAAGCAAGGACCTCACGGAACAGCCTGCTCTGGACCACCGAGTTCCCGATGGTTCCAGTTCCACACGTATCCTAAAACTCAGCTCCCTGGCTTGTCCACTCGTTTGCTCATTTCTTCATTCGTTCATTCCACAAAGGTTTACTGCACTTGTACCAGGCTCTGTGCCCTAGAGATTCCACAGTAAACAAGACAGACGTGGCCCCTGCCCTCTCTGGCTTATGATCTAATTGGAAAGAGGAGCAACCAATGAGTAAACAATTACACAAAGATTCGAAGGAAGGCATTTCTGACTGTGAACCACGGAATGAAGAAAAGCAAGTGCCCTGGAGAGGAGAGGTAGAGCTGACAGTGCACAAGGATGGTTGTGAAGGTCAGATCCCGGATGACTTTTGAGCTGAGAACCAGAGGGTGGAAAGACGGCTGCCAAGCAAAGGGAGTGGGGAGGGCACTTCAAACAGAGGACGCTGCCCGTGTGGGGAGGGGCTCTCGGGGTTCCAGGATGGAGCCAGAGCCCTGGGGCCGAGCAGGGTGGAGCCACAAGGGGTGAGGTTGGAGGGCAGGAGGGAGCCTGACCAGACAGGGCCTTTCCGTTCATTCAGATGAAGTTCTGTCCTCCAGGTGGAGGAACTGGCCTCTCCCTATTCTGGAAGCTTCAGTACTTGGAGGGAGTGAGGAAGCTGTGCCAGTCATGACTGTGGGTGCCTGATGGGCGGTGACCAAACTGGGACGTGTTCCCTCCCTTGACTGCAGTGTCTGTTGGTTACTAGGGAACTTGGGTTACACACTGGATTAAGCATGTCATTTTACCATGTTTTGATATCTGGGGCCTTACTGACCCTGAGAGACTGCCCTTCCCAGGGCTAGCCTACAAAGTGTGTCTTTCATATGCAAACCAAGGAATCCAGAGCCCACATCCTATCCCTGACCTCCTCCACCAGGCTCTCACACTGCGGGCCACCATTCCCCTGCCCTAACCACCCCGGGGCCAGGTACCAGGCAACTCCAGACAGCCCCGACACCCCAGAGCCCGCTGAAATTACTCAAACTAGCCAATCCTAAATCTGCTTACTCTGCCTCACCCGTTCCTTCCCACAGAAACCACAACAGAGGCTCTTGCCCACATTTTCTCCTTGCTCCCTCCACCCTGATTGACGCTGGTGCATCCCCATGTGGCCCCCCATGATGTGGTGTGCCCCCTCCTTTTAGGATCTATGTATAACAAATCATCTTGTCAATATCAGTCATTTCCTGATCTGTTGGCCTCACCATGCCTCAATAATACAAAAATCTACATTTTAGAACACTCACCCACCCCATCTCCAAAACCTCACTCCAGGGCCGCCATCTCCTACCTCCAGATGGTGATGGCCTGGATGCACAGGACCCCAGCGAAGGACGGGAAAAAGAGCAAGAAGATGAAGACAGTCATCATCTGTGAGGCCCGCCAGGCTTTGCTCGCAGGCTGGAAATTCACTATCAGGCTGATCTGAAGAGAGACAAGCACCATCTTCCATCTACGGCCCGAAGAGCAGGCCAGAGGGACCCCAGCCAGGCACTGGCTTCCTGATACCCTTCCCAGTGTCCCCGTGACCCCCGCACCCAATTCCAACCACCACTGGGTCACATGTGACTGAGTGAAGCTGACAGGTTCCAACTTCAGACTGACTCACATTTTTGACGTAAAACATGATGAAAAGAGCAATCATTTGGATAAAGGGCAGCAGAGGGCAGAAGAAGGTCCCAATCCTATGAGAGAGAGAGAGAGTGTGTGTGTCAGAGATCAGGGGAGACACGGGGAGTGGGGGCAGATATGGGGTGTGGAGGGGAGGGAAAGAGGGTGTTATGGGCTGAACTGTGTCCCTCCAAAATTCTTATGTTGAAGTCCTAACCCCCAGTACCTCAGAAAGTGACTGTACTTGGAAAGAGGGTCTTTAAGGAGGTAATAAAGGTAAAATGAGGTCACTAGGGTGGGCCCTAATCCAATACAACTGGTGCCCTTAAAAGAAGAGGATATTAGGATACAGGCACAGAGAGGTAAGACCACGTGAAGAAGGGAGAGAGTGCCATCTACAGGCCAAGGAGAGAGGCCTCAGAAGAAACCAACCCTGCCATCACCCTGATCTTGGACTTCCAGCCTCTAGAACTGTGAGGAGATAAATTTGTGCTGTTTAAGCCCCCGGTCTGTGGCACGTTGTTATGGCAGCCCTAGTAAACTAATGCGGAGGGAGACTGCTTCCACCACAGCAAACCAGGCAAAGGCCACCACACACAGTATCCACAGCTGCTCTCTTCCTGGCTCTGGAAAAGAGATTTTGCAGAGCACCCCACTCACACAGCCACTAAACCACCAGAGGGCCTTCAGCAAGCCCTAACCTAGGTGTCCCAAACATGGGACATGTCCCCCTCCTCCGTCCATGGCATCTGAGAAGGTCTGAGGTCCTGCAGGGACAGGCATTAACCTGCACTGAGTTACAAATGAGAGGGGCATTCCCTCATCAACCCTCCTCAGCGTCCTGAGGGCCTAAAGAAGAGAATCTCAGTTCTGTGCTAGAATGTAACTCCTCACACTCGCCAATCTCTCATTTTTTTAAAAAAGGAGCAGTTTTAGACTGAGCGCCTTGACGGACAGTAGCACCTAGCTAGAATTTAATGACTGTCTGTGATGGGATCGATTTTATTTTTCAAGTTACTTGCAATCTGTCAAATGATACTGGTTTTCCATTTACTATTATAAAATAAAGACTCCTTTAAAAATGTATGGAAGCAAAAAAAAGGCAAACAATTTAAAAAATAATATTAAGTAAAAAAACAGAGATGCCAAAAATGTACAAATGACTGAAGTCTGAGACACACTTTCCTCACCTCATCTCTACCATGATCCCTAACGTACACTCAATTCCTGTTATTATATTACCTTCTTTTAAAGCTCATCATCAGAAACAATATTTTTCTAAGACCCACAGAGGGTAAATCTATAATTGTCACAGAGAAAGGAAAAGATATGCGTGTTTTCAATTGTGTTTATTTATGATTTATTAACAAAAACCTTAAAGGCCTGGAAGTAATATTGGACATCTCTGATTGTAACTTTTGCCCTCTCCATGCTAACATCTCCCTTTGGAGCCTCCGTCAAATGGGGTCAAGAGGATGAGGGCTCGGGCCCCAGGGTTCAAAAACCTGGCCAAAGTAAGCACTCAATAAATGGGGCTATATTATTATTACCATGTCAGATGGTTTACGCACATTATTTATTAAAAAACAAAAAACTTAAGAGTGCTTACAAAAGTATCATATGATCCAGCAATTCCACTTCTGGGTACCTAGCCAAAAGAATTGAAAGCAGGGTCTCGAAGAGATATCTGTACACCCATGTTGATAGCAGCATTATTCACAATAGCCAAGAGGTGGAAGCAACCCAAGTGTCCATCAACAGATGAATGGATAAACACAATGTGGCATATTCATACAATGGAATATTATTTAGCTTTAAAAAAGGAAGGAAATTCTGATACAGGCTACAACATGGATGAACCTGGAGGACATTATGCCAAGTGAAACAAACCAGTCACGAAAGATAAAATCTGTATGATTCCATTTATATGAGGTATCTAAGATAGTCGAACTCATAGAAGCGGAAAGTAGAATGGTGGTTTCCAGGGGCTGGGGGAGGGGGAAATGGGGAGATGTTGGTCAAAGGGTACAAACTTTCAGTCATAAGATGAATAAGTTCTGGAGATTGGTTGTACAACGATATGAATATACCCAACACTGCTGAACTATGTACTTAGAAATGGTTCAGGTGGTAAATTTTATGTTATGTATTTTTTATCACAATTTTTAAAAAGTGTGCTCATAGGGATAACAACAGCCATAATATCCCCACTTATAAAACATTTCTGACGGCCGGCCCCGTGGCTTAGCGGTTAGGTGCGCGCGCTCCGCTGCTGGTGGCCTGGGTTCGGATCACGGGCGCGCACCGACGCACCGCTTCTCCGGCCATGCTGAGGCCGCGTCACACATACAGCAACTAGAAGGATGTGCAACTATGACGTACAACAATCTACTGGGGCTTTGGGGGGAAAAAAATAAATAAATAAAATCTTTAAAGAAAAATAAAATAAAATAAAACATTTCTGAGTCAGCTACTTGCTAGCACTTATTGCATACATTTTCTTAATTAATCCTCAGCAAAACCCTGGGAAGTAGGTACTATTGTCTCTCCCATTTATAGATTAGAAAACTAAGATTTAGAGAGAGTTTACATAACTTGCCCAAAGGCATCCTGTTAGCAGAGACATTGTGGGCAAAAGGCCTTTGTCAGCTGCCCAGGTGCCAGGGGGTGACCTGGGAGTATGCAAATGTGTCACCTAAACCACACAAAGAAAAGTCCTCACTACCCTCTAAAAATAAATTCATGGGCATTAGTGAGTTATTTGCAGATAGCCAAATCACCCAAGGCAACTTTAAAGAGCGGGAAAATAAAACCCTTTACAGTTGTATGGCACATTGAAGACTGCAAAGCAGTTTTCCTATACCATCTGACTTAATCCTCAACACAGTTCCAAGGCAGCTATTATGATGTTCATTTTAGATGAGGAGACTGAGGGTCAGAGAAGTTCAGTGACCTCAGTGAGTGGCAGAGCCAGCCCCAGAATCCAAGTTTATCCAAGTCCAAATCCTCTACTTCCAAATTAGCAACCCTGCAACAGACGGAACTTGGGAAAGTAATGTACTATGGGGAATTCTGGCATTTACTACACCAGGTTAAACAAATAAGCAAAATAGTCACTCGCTGTTGGTTTGCATTTCTAGGTGAGCTCATCAAAAATCTGACGCATCTGGCTGGCTATTCCCAAAACATCGAGTCGCACACACACATGTACATATGCATGGACACAGCCGCTAAACAGAATTCGCAGACCCCAAAGGCTACAGAGGCCCAGGCCAGGCGTCAGATATACACAGCCCTTTCTGCCTTTCTTTATCTTCCCACTTTTGTTGAGACATTGAAGCCAAGTAAAGTTTTCTACCATAAGAAAACTAACAGCATGAGGGCAACGAGAAATGGCAAATCAACGTTGGGGAGATAATAGTTCAAGGCGGGGACTGTGGCAAACTGGATCCACTGACCCCAGTTCAAGGCTCAGCCAATTGTTACCATTAGGGGAAATGGTCTAGAGCTGTCCTTTTTTTGGAGAGAAGCCAGAAATTTTAAATTTTGTGTGGTATCTCCTGGTCTTTAAATATTGGTTAATTCAAATTTTCAGAGAAAGCACTGTATGGGACAAGCAAAACACACCTGCAGGCTGGACATGGCCTGGGGCCTCCAGGCTGGGCCCCTGCTCTGTGCTGATTCTCGCCTGAAGGCCTCACAAAGGACAAGAATAGTCTGGGACATAAATTCACGGCGCTCACACTGGCTGGATTCGTTATCACCTGTGTAGCTGTGAAATCAACAGATTCTGACTCTCGCCACGGAAACTCCGACTCCACAGTCAGGAGGGAACCCCTGGGCATCTCGCAGATTCCCAGAACTTACCACACCAGAGTTTGTGCGTAGATCAGTTCTAGGACGTTCCTGGCAATGTCAAACTCCTGTAAGCCAAGACTCGTGAAAAACCGCATCCCAATGATTCTGTGAAAACAGGCTGAGTTTAGTACCCAAACCGTCAACTCCCTCCTTCAAAAGATTCCCCACCATCAACAAAGAAGACCTTCACCAGTTTGGAACAAAGTCGTTAAGTCCCCTTGCAAATTTTTGAAAAGTTCCAAGTATAAGCCTGTTTTTGAAGAAATAATTGAAGGCACTGAGGGAAAATGGAATTTACATAATGCATTCAAATGAGGGTACCGCTAAACATTTTAGAAAATGTTATTTAAATTACTCCACCTATTATTTAAATAGCTAATTGATTATAAATTAATAATAGATATCATTTAAATGAGATAATTATTTAAATTATCCCACCTATTATCTCGTTTATACCACTCTTTGCTTGTTAAACCTTTTTCTCAGGGACCAGATAAGATCAGCACCTCCCAATCCAAATAATCCGAAAATTTTTCAATTTTTGGTTACTGCTATTGAATTAATGGTGTTTCTCTGTTTTCTAAATCCACAAAGAGGAAGCCGAGGTCTCTATTCACTTGGGGAAACTTGAGACCACTTTGATTTCTTCATACAGAAGAGCTGCCAATAGAAAATTGCTGTCAGGGGCCGGCCCTGTGGCTTAGCGGTTAAGTGCTCGCGCTCCGCTGCTGGCGGCCCGAGTTCGGATCCCGGGCGCGCACCGATGCACCGCTTGTCAGGCCATGCTGTGGTGGCGTCCCATATAAAGTGGAGGAAGATGGGCACAGATGTTAGCTCAGGGCCAGTCTTCCTCAGCAAAAAGAGGAGGATTGGCATGGATGTTAGCCCAGGGCTGATCTTCCTCACAAAAAAAAAAAAAATTTGCTGTCGAAAAAACCCTTCTCAGGCCAGCCCAGTGGCATAGTGGTTAAGTTCGCATGCTCTGCTTCAGCGGCCCAGGGTTCACAGGTTCGGATCCCAGGTGTGGACATACATACCACTCATCAAGCCATGCTGTGGCGGCGTCCCATATACAAAATAGAGGAGGATGGGCACGGATGTTAGCTCAGGGCTAATCTTCCTCAGCAAAAAGAGAAAGATTGGCAACTGATGTTAGCCCAGGGCCGATCTTCCTCACCAAAAAAAAAACACACAAAAAACCCTTCTCACCTTTATATCTGGACCCTGGACAGAGGCTGGAATAAAAGTGAGTTTGGGCAGACTGATTGAGGAAATTGGCATTCAACCTCCCCGCTGAGGAAAGAATCAGCATTGTGCCATCTTATCACGAGGGCAGCTTACAGAAACATGTACATGTCTCCGAGGAATGAGATGCTCATCATATTATTTAAAAATTAATGGATAAATGAATACAAGAGACCCACACACTGGCCAATGATGACACTGCTTCAATTCTCCACACCTGGGGTCTAAAATAAAAATTAGTCCATCAATTAACTTCAATGAAAACAATAAGATGAATCTTTACAGGCATGGAAAGATGCCAAGGCATAGTGATAAGATTAATCAAAGCAACAATTCTGCCATGTGACACTATTTTTGTCTTGGAAAATTAAGCAGTATAGACACGAATACAAAGCAGAATGTACACAGGAAAATCTGGAGGAATATACACTAGATATTAAAATTATCTATGACAGACAAGATCTCAAATACTCAGTTTCTGTTTTATTCTAGAACTTTTTTTTTTCCAAGAGAAGGTTGTAAAAGGCCCACTGAACCAAATGAACTTTGACAACAGGGCTGTCAGGTAAGGTGATATTTCAGTTAATTGAGGAGAAAATGATATCCCAGAGGACAAGAGGCAGACAGAACAATGTACACTTAGGCACTTAAGGGACTCATACTTCCTGCTCAGCCAAGACAGGCTCTGGTTACACCGTCAGGTACTAATTATTCAAGATGGACAAATATTTACCTCCTCAGGAACTCCCCCAGGAAGGAATCAGCTAAGGAGAACACGAAATCCATCAGAAGGAGTCGGTAGATTTCCTGACCAATGAAGGTTTCCCAACACTGCAAGGCAAACAAGAGTCAGGGTGTGGGAAGAGGCTGTTGGCACCGCTCAGTTCCCTCTGTTCCTGGCGCCCCGCTCTCATTAGGACATGGCTGGTGGCTCAGTCTGACGGAGTCCTTGTGTACCCAGAAAAGCAGACCCTCTCTCGGCAGATACGCACCATTAGGCTGCATTTGTTTTCAGGGTATTTATTCCCTTTCTGCGCTCCTTCTGCCCCCATTAAGGCTTGCCCTCCACATGTACCCAAACTTTCCCTTCTCACTCTCTCTCCTCTTAACACTTTTCATCTCTGCCCTATGCCCCCTGGATACCATTTCTCAGCCAGGGCTGATCAATTTCTTCAGGGGAGTAGGAGGCGTCAATGGCTAATAATGCCTACAGTTCTTTTGCTTATTGACCTTACAATAAATCAATTAATACCTGCTTGCTTAAGAAAGTGGCCTAGAGGTTTAGCAGGCTAGCACAAACTGGAAGTTTGAATGAGTCAGTTTATGAAACTGGTGGTCAGTAACCTCAACAGGAAGTCAGTGTTACGAGCTGATGGACTGGGAACTTTGAGATTTGGCTGAATGAGGAGAGGGAAGTATTGGGTGCACAGCCCAAGGATGGATGGATGGGTGGATGGGTGGATGGATGGATGGGTGGATGGGTGGATAGATGGATGGGTGGATGGATGGGTGGATGGGTGGGTGGATGGGTGGATGGATGGGTGGATGGGTGGATGGATGGGTGGATGGGTGGATAGATGGATGGGTGGATGGATGGGTGGGTGGATGGGTG